TCAACTGCACGCCAGGCAGCGTATAAACCATCTACCTCCGGCAAGGGAAAACCAAATCACCTTTTTCACCACCTTTCCCCTTCAACAATACGAATGCTCGAACAAGTCTTCAGATCTGCACTGAGCCCAAGGTGCCATGATTGGGTTGAACCTGCTTTATTTTTTGTCCAATGTTTTTGCGTATTTGTTTAGGACAAGAGATGAACGTGGGGGTGGGGTGGTTTGAAGTGACGGAGTGAATTGAACATTCCATTTTTTAGGTAAGTAGATATTTAATTTAACTTAAGGATCTTATGTGCATTGAATTCGCTTGAATTAAGGTAATAACAGTTATTAGGTAAAACTGAAATATTATTGAGTTGGAGGAAATTGCAAATTTGGTCCCGTTAGATTGGGACGGTTTCATTTTTAGTCCCAAGAGGCACATTTTTAGTCCTTAACCAATGTTTGTTCCGCATTTGGTCCCAAATTCAACGGACCGTGAAGTCACCGTTAACCCTCAGGACTAAAATTGCGACCATGAGACTAAAATTGGACCGTCCCAATCTAACGAGACCAAATTTGCAATTTCCTCAGTTTTATTACTTTTTTTATTGCAATTTTTTATCCCGTGAGTATAAAACAATCAGTGATAGTAAAAATTTAGTTTCAAGACCAAAAGAAAAATAAAAATAATAACTATACAATGTTTTCTATATTTAAAACTAACTTTTACTAAATAATAATTATATTTAAAAATTATTATTTGATTTTATTAGAAATATAGAACTGTAGGGGTTAACAAAATTTTTAAATAAAAATAAAAATAAAAGTAATATAAAATATTATTGGTTTGAAAACTCAGCCAAACATGAACCGATTAGAATTAGTTGAATGGACTGGTAATAATATATATTTTTTGATAAGTTAATAAATATTTATATTTTTTAATATAACAAAAATATAAATTTAAATATATTTGATATATATAAATTCAAATATATTTAAATTTTTATTATTATTTTTTTTTGTATTTAAAATATTTTTAATTAAATAATAAATATATTTACTAATAAATTTTAATTTAATTATAGATATATTGGTTGATAAAAAAAATACAATTGTAGAGGTTAATAAAAATTTAAAACGTAAAATAAAAATAAAAATAAAAATAATATCAACTACTATTATTTTTAAAATTGGGTTAAACTGACTGTTGAATCTAGAATCGGTCTAAAAGTTGGATTCCTTTGAACAAACTGGTTTCTAATAAACCAGTCAGAATTGGTTGATCGGACTGATCTATTGTGTGTGTGTGTGTATATATATACATTTAAATACGTTAATAAATATTTATATAATTTTTAATATAACAAAAATATAAACTTAAATATATTTGATATATATATAAATTCAAATAAATTTAAATTCATATTATCATTAATGTATTAAAAAATTTAATTGCAATACAATGCTGTCTATATTTCAAATATTTTAATTAAGTATTGCATATATTTAAAAAATCATCATTTAATTTTATTATAATTATAATGGTTGATAAAAAAATAAATTATAACTATAGAGTTTAATAAAATTGAAAAAATAAAAACAAAAATGAAAATAATATCAACTACTACAAATTTGGTCCCGTTAAATTGCGAAGGTCCAATTTTAGTCCCACGGTCGCAATTTTAGTCCTGAGGGTTAACGGTGACTTCACGGTCCGTTAAATTTTGGGACCAAATGCGGAACAAAAATTAATTAAAGGACTGAATTTGGGACCAAATGCGAAACAAACATTAGTTAAGGACTGAAAATGTGCCTCTTGGAACTAAAAGTAAAACCGTCTCAATCTAACGAGACCAAATTTGCAATTTCCTCTATTGAGTTGTTTAGGTAATTTTATAAATAAAAATATAAAAAGGATATAAATGTAATATAAATCATACATGGTGATAAGGAGTGCAAATTCCTCTATAAAAAATGAACCAAATTATTTTTCAGGCCCATTCCACCTCATCTGACGGGCACAAGAGGCCCAGAGTCACTGGCGATCCTAATAGCTAAATTCACAGCTCCACGGCGGCGACCAACACGGCGGTTGAAGACGAATACTCAAACTGTGAGTCAGTCCCCCTTCCGGATTTTTAGTTTTCTTCACGAATTTCTCTTTTTGTAACCAATATTTACATCTTCCCTATTTTTTCATGATAATATCATTTTCTGTGCTCTGATTTATTTTTTTTTTTAACATTTTTTAGGAATTCATTTAATCTTTTGGAAATATCATAGCCTGGATCTTTTCTATACTACGTAGCACAGCAATGGATAGAGTATTGAAAATAAATATTAAATGTATCTGGATTGCGATGTCCTGAATAAGATTTATAATCGTCAGTGTCTTCCCAACCGAATTTCAGCTTCTGAATCTCGATTAATTGAAACTCCCGTCTCCCGTTCTCAACAAAACTTGTTTTAGGTTTCAATTTTCATTAAATTGTTGTCATAACTTTACGAAAACCCAAATCTTTGATAAGTAATGCTAGCTATGTCTCGATCAAGCCTAACATTTATAAATTGTAGCTGGCCTCGTTTTGTCTGATCACCCATTTGGATGTATTGTTTGAGTTGGTATACATTTGCAGCTTATATTTCTATGTTTGAGGTGACATATTTGAACTCGATAAGCTATATTTCGGAGACATCATATAATCCAAAGTGATGAAAACCTGAATATCTCTTTATTTATTTATTTTTTTCCATTTTTTTGGGGTTTCTTTGTGTTGCCCCGAGTTTTTGCTCGAGACATGGAGGAAGAACATTCATAAACTATTTATAGACATCGATAAGGAAGTGACTTATGATGATGATGATGATGAAATTTTATTCGTCGTGCTGGAAATATGTACATTTTATTTACTTGACATTTTAGTTATGTTATTTATACATGGCTGCATCTTTATTTTTATAGATTTCTCCAGATTGCTGATTTATCTTAATTGTAGCATCTATACTATGTTTATATTCTTTGTATGGAGTCAAGTCCTAACTCGCAACTAATGTGTAAACTAATGCTTTTGTTGTCTGCATTATGTTCAAGTAATCTGATGGAAAATTGCTTGATTTACTTGCCTCACAACTCAAGTAATTGTTCTTCATCATCAAGCTTATGGATATGATAAAACGGTTTTGCTAATGCAACTTATCACAATGAGCCTTTCTTCATTTCAACAGCAAGGGATAAATATTGATACATCGCCTTTGCTAAGTTCTTGTTCTCTCTATCTTTTTGTTCGTTTACACTGTAAAGAATAAAGTCAAGAATGTCTTTATGACAAATACTGCTTACTATTAGAATGTCTTTATGACAAATACTGCTTACTATTGCCTTTTTTATTAGGCAAAATTGCATCAAAGTACACCACCTCTTAACTTTTTGCAATTTAATCACCACCTTTGAAAGTTTGCAACTAAGTACACCAGCTTTAGACATTTGGCAAATCGAAGCATGCCAAACAGAAATCGGCACCGGCATTTTTACGTGGCAATGTCGAAAACTCACGTGGAAATCGAAAACACACGTAGAAGTCCAAAAATACCAAACAAAAAATTAAAATGCCACAAAATTAGTCTACTTGGCAGATTTGCTAAAATAAAATCAAAATTAAGTAGCTCCTCAGCCCTAAATTCAAAATCAGTCGAACAACTATGAACCCTAAATTGAAAAAATATCGATCAATTCAAAATGTTCTCTTGTAGCTAAAATAACTCACCTCCAAAATAATCTACAGAACCATCAAGATTGATAAATCTCCCCCCATGGTTCAAATTGTTCGACAATTTTGCAATTTAGGGTTCTTAGTTGTTCGATTGATTTTGAATTTAGGGCTGAGGAGCTACTTAATTTTAATTTTATTTTAGCAAATCTGCCAGGTAGACTGATTTTGTGGCATTTTAATTTTTTGTTTGTTATTTTTGGAATCCGCGTGTGTTTTCGATTTCCACATGAGTTTCCAACATTGCCACGTAAAAAAGCCGGTACCGGTTTCCGTTTGGCATGCTTCGATTTGCCAAATGTCTAAAGCTGGTGTACTTAGTTGCAAACTTTCAAAGGTGGTGATTAAATTGCAAAAAGCTAAAAGGTGGTGCATTTTGATGCAATTTTACCTTTTTATTATAAGATAGGTTAGTAAGCATATTTTATACCTTGCCTTTTGAGTTCTAAGTTTTTCTAATTCTTTCTTTCTTTTGTTTTAGATCTTTTGTCGATCCCTACTACCTCATCTTGATGTCCCGCAAGCGTAATTTCGTTGTTGCGGCGGGCTTATTAGTTTTCGCATCAGTAGGATTGGCATTTCCATTTTATATGGCGTAAGTGAACTTGTCGATATTATTTTCTGAAAAACTTGTTTACGCACCACACGATTTTCTTTGTCTCGTGTTATTTGTGCACAGTACCTGAACTTGTCGATATTATTTTCTGAAAAACTTGTTTACGCACCACGCGATTTTCTTTGTCTCGTGTTATTTGTGCACAGTACCCCTTGAATTCAATAAAACTACAGAAGTGATCAGCTATTTTATCGAAATTAGATTCCTCGAGAATGGACAGAGGGGGGAACATTTCCAATTCTGAAAGATGACGATATTATTTTTGGCAACTAGGATAGAACTAGGGATAGTTTTGTAAGTGAGGATAGAACTAGGGATAGTTTTGTAAGTCAATCCTCACGAGTTGTATTTCAGGACCAAGTCCTCGAGAAGTCCGGTGATAGATTCTTCAAAGCCGCTGCCCCCTCAAGCTACATTCCGAGGACCTTACGTTAACACCGGATCACGAGACATTGGACCTGATGACAAAATTTATCCCAAAAAATGATTTGATCTAGCTTGGTGCATGTTGTTCAATCAAGTTCTTGCATGATTATTTTGCAGAGTGTGCAAGCAGAATTCGTGATCGACTTTTGCTATGAATATATTGCTTGGGTGTTTATGGTTTTGGCTACGAATTTTGCTATGAATATATTGCTAGGGTATTTTTGGTTTTGGTTCTTGTTGAATGTAATAACATGTAACTGCTACTGTCTGCAGGTTAGCCGAATTTCTTGGATACGTTGATTCACCACGTAAGATAGTGTTGTATTATTTTTCATCGTATAATTTTTCATCGCTTCTTATAGAACGGTTTATTCTGAATCTTTGTAATGTTCATGGAGAATTTTTTGCATTCTAAGGAGTACTGTACTGGTCTATTGTTGAATTTGGTATTTGAGAGCCACCACCAAACATGGTTATAATAGAAAACCAGATAGCTGATTTGGAGGCTAGAAAGCTGAAGGACTTGAAGGAAAAAAATTATCTCTTCGAAGCAATTGATCGTTCCATCTTAGAAATCATTCTTTGTAAAGATACCTCTAAGAGCATTTGGGACTTGATGAAGAAGAAATATGAAGGTTCGACTCGTCGATTGTTCAGGACATCCTTGAACTCGAGCACGGATTCGACAACGGCCCACCAATTGAGGAATTCGACTGCTTCAAGCCTGCCGGAGAAATTGGTATCTCCATCCGAAATCCGGTCTCCCAATGCGACTCGCCCTCAGACTCTCGCTGTGGATCGCTACTAGAGCTGAGCATTGGACTCGGAGAATTCCGAACCGAACCGAAAAATAACTGTTACCATTTGACTTTCTCCTACCGAACTGAACTGAAAAAATAATTGGTACGGTTCTAGAGATTTCACAAATATTCGTACCGAAAACCGAACCGAATCGTCACGTATCGAACCGAAGAATTGAAATTAAGAACCGAATTATAAAAATGAATGTGTGATATCAATATATTTCATGTCAACTTTGATCTTGTATAATTTGAAAATGTTTAAAATAGAAATAAAATATAGTTATAACAATTAAGTTTCATTTACATTTCATGCTAAGTAATACTTGAGATCTACAATTGAATTTTCATGGTGTAAAACAAATATATTTAAAATAGTATAAAAGGTTAAAAAAATATGTTTTAAATTTTTTTTTAAACATTACTTAAATTTATGGATACTAGTCTTATTTTATCTTATAACTAACATGGTATGGAAGGTTAAAGAAATATTACTTTAATAAAAAACTATATTATATTTTGTTTGAATTTTGATTGTTCAATGTAAGTTGCACAAATTTAGTCTTAATAAAATTTGCAGTTATTTATCCAGAAGATTTAAAAATAAAATCTTTCGTATGATAAAGTATTGATGAATATTTGATTTAAAAAAATATAAAAATTAAAATACTACTAGGAGGTCATTCAAAAAAAAATTTAAAAAAAAAATAGAAATCTCCGAATATCCGAAGTGAACCAAACTGAACCGAACCAAACTGATCCAATAGTCCCGAGAACTGAACCGAAGCGAAAAATGGAAATATCCGAACCGAACTGAACCAATTTTTCAGTACGGTTCCGGAGATTGAATTTTAGTA